GAAGCCGCACTACGACCCACCCGTCGTACCCGTTCCATAGGTCGCCAGGATGGCTCCTTTTCTGAGGGGGGAGTGATTTGTAGCATTGATATTTGGCACAGGCCGGAACGCCAGCTGAAGAAGAGAAGGAAGAGTGTTGTTGCTGCTCGCGCTCGCTCCGCTTGACAGCTGGTCGGTTCTACCGCTACGTTTTCCACAAAGTAAACGTCTCTTCTGCTCACCACTAAAGGTGTACTATCAAAATAAATAAATAAAAAATACCCTTGTCAAATAATTTACAGATTAGTTAGGCAATGACAAATATGGCCGTTTTTCTTTATAATTTGTAGCATATACTATTCGAATTTTATCCAAATTATTCAAACTAAATTACTATTTGCTTCAAGTAAACTACGAACCTAAAATTCACTATTCGCACAAGCCTAAAATTCTTACCTAGATATGTAAATTTTATCTTTTCATATTCAGCCTATATTCTGTTTGCACTACCTCTTATTTGTATTTCATGTATGGGAATACACCAACCTCTGCAATGATCCCCTGTGAGGGATTGACAGTAGTAGAAAATACATAAATAAATAAAATAAACGATCAAGTGGTCAAGAGGATGACCGCTGCCGCGGTTCAGTTGATGGAGCATCGGACACATTATTCAAAGGCCGCAGGTTCAGTCACTGCCAGCTTTAAGTTGACTTTCCAACCAGCTTACTTTTATAATGTCTAGATCCTAATTACTATAGATACGTATACTTTCTCTTATAATTTATATAGTTAAGCCTGCTTATAACAAACCCTCATATAACGAATTCCTCGTTATAGCGAAGTTGTTCTATTCTCTGCCATTCCTCCATAGAAGCACATGTATTTGCTACCTCTATGTAACAAAGGAACTGTGAGAGGCAACCTTGATATAACAAATTTTTCCCATGGGTAATCTTGCAACTTTGGCCCCCATTTTGTCATTTTCGTACGAGCATGCATCTTCCGCGGGTGCCCCGTCGCCGACAAAAGGGCGGCGGCGACAACCAGGCGAGATCGAGCGCTTGTTATAAGAAACCGAAGCTCAAGTTTGCTGAGCGATGATAACGCTGCGCCAGGCTCTGGCGGCGAGTTCCGGAAAACGTGAAGATAGGCCCGCGAGAGGGTGCAAGCGAGTCAGTGTGTTTCGCTGAAATGGGAGTGCGTGTGTGCGATACGCGCGAAATGCGTTCTGCAGTTGGTTGGGGGAACATCGGCGCCGTGCCGTCAGCTTGGCGCGCTGAAGCGAGATGCTCGCTGTGCGAAGTTGCATTTCCGTGATGGAAGAAGCGGCTCCACGGAAGCGTCGGCGAGGTTCGAAGTATTGTTGTGTTGTAAGCTGCCACAACAATGCAGACAACACCAAGGGACGCTCTTCACGTGTAAAGCTGTATCAGTTCCTCAGCAAGTCACAGCTGACGAACACAGCCGCGTTCGTGAAAGATAGAGCAAGCTTGACACGAGAGGCGGAAAAAAAAAATTGCAGTGGTTGCAACTCTTGACAGCGCATATTAAATCTTTCAGGCTATATATACACTCAGTGTTTCTATTGAAAGATATACATTTTAAAATAGCCTTGTATTTATTAAACTAACAGTCAGTTTGAATGAACCAGTTCTTTGAATTTAGCAAGTGATGAGGATCAAGCATTACTTTATACTGATTTTGCCTGGTTTCCATGTTTTCTTTTGCTTTTATTTATGATTACAGTGTTGTAGCACGTTTAAAGTTTGGTGCGTCAAGCAATGATGTAGTTTCCTAGTCCTTTACTCTGTTGTATAGCTTACTCACGCTGCATTTTTTTTGTCCTGTCATTCATAGTTTTTACTGCTAAGGTGAAAGCTTTGCATGCCTCCTCAAATGTGAAACCTGGCCGACTGCGTCCCACACCGGCGGCGTCAACATGTCACTAAAAAAAATTACCTGCTCTTGCTCATTACTTCTTGTTATCAAAAATTAATTTCTCACGCGTTTACAGCTTGCACAAGTTTAGTGAAGTTTTTTTGGTGCATCCTTTCTTACACTGTCACCCTAGCAAGCTTTAATTTGTAGCACTTTGTTCCAAGCAATGAATGTGTGCTTTGAATTGGTCAAGTTGTGAGGAGCTGCATGTAGTTCCATTTGTTTGGCATGTTACCTTTGCACTTTTGGTGATCTCTGGGCCCGTGAAAAAGAAAATAGCGAGCATTTCACTAATCAAGCTTCTGTACTATTGGTATACAACGAGGAAGAGGCGGCCAGTATGCTCGCCTTCATTAACAGCATCGTTATCCAGGTCAGCTGTGTCAAAGGGGCTTATGCCCAGTGTTGATGCAGCCTCAACAGTCTCCAGCTGATGGTTTCCAGTGATGCTTAGTAAGTGGGTGAGCTCTGGTGCTTTTTGCACTAGATAAATATGCCAGGAGGCCATGGAAAATTCTCAGCAAAGCGTCCGGCAAAAGTTTCGGAATATCGTGCGGTTCTTCACAGCTCCTACAATGAGCTACTGGTTCACACGAAAGATTCCACTCTCATCGAAGTGCTTTTTGCACACATGCAGTTCATCATCAGCCTGACTACGTCCACTCCAGGAGAAAAGCTTCTTCCATGTCCCGCAAGTCAACTCAATCCTGTGCTTGCTGCTGCCACTTTATACCCGCAAACTTCTTAATCTCATCTGCCCACCTAACTTTGTCTCCCCCTAGCTCGCTTGCCTTCTCTGGGAATCCAGTCAGTTACCCTTTATAACCAGCAGTTATCCTGCCTACGCGCTACACGCCCGGCCCATGTCCATTTCCTCTTCTTGATTTCAACTATGATATCCTTAACCCCCGTTTGTTCCCTAATCCACTCTGCTCTCTTCTTGTCTTTTAAGGTTACACCTACCATTTTTTTTTTCCATTGCTCGCTGCTTCGTCCTCAATTTAAGCTGAACCCTCTGGTGAGCCTCCAGGTTTCTGCTCAGTAGGTAATATACGTTCCTCTTGAAGGATAGTGGCAATCTACCAGTCATGATTTGAGAGTGCTTGCCGAATGTGCTCCACCCCATTCTTATTCATTTAGTTACTTCAATCTCGTGGTTCGACTCTGTGGTTATTACTTGTCCTAAGTAGACGTTGTCTTTTACAACTTCAAGTGCACTATTACCTATCTCGAAGCTTTGTTCTCTTCTGTGGTTGTTGTACATTACTTTCATTTTCCGCAGAATAATTTTAAGACCTACCTTTCGGCTGTCCTAGTCTATTGGCATTGTGCAAGATGTGGAAGTGCTTGGTAAGGTTGCAGTGACCATAGAATGACAAGGTTTCCAATTTGCCTAGACTTGAAGAAGGAACGACAGAAACTGATACGCTAGAAGCCAAGAAGAAGGAAAGTGCAGGAATTCAAAGTCTGGCTTCAGAACAGATACTGGGCTCTTATCGAAGAAACCAGCCTTAGCGTTGACGCAATGAATGATGACCTGATGAGTATCATTACGGAGTGTGCAGTGGAAGTTGGAGGTATGGTAGTTGGAGGTTTGGCAAGTCGGAGGTATGGCAAGCTGTACCTAACGATGAAGAACCTCATTAAGAAACGTCAAAGCATGAAAGCCTTAAATACAACAGACAAAATAGAACTGGCAGAGCTTTCGAAGTTGGTTAGTAAGTGTAAGGTATCCTATGTACGAAGGTATAGCAAGGAGAGAATTGAACTCTCTCTAAGAATGGAGGAAGCATCAAAGCGGTGAAGAGAAAACTTGTGATATGCAAAAATCATATGTATGCACTAAGGGAGAAAGAAGGTTAAGTAACTACCAATATGGATAGAATAGTTAAAGTAGCAGAGGAGTTTCACAGAGATCTGTACATTAGCCAGGACAACCACGACCTTAATATAAGAACTAGCAGTAACCCAGATGACATTCCACCAGTAATGACAGAAGAAGTCAGAAAAGCCTTGGAGGGAATGCAAAGAGGCAGAGCTGCTGGTGAGGATCAGGTAACATCAGATCTGCTGAAATACGGAGGACAGATTGTGCTATAAAAGCTAGCCATCCTATTTACGAAGTGTCTCTTGGCAGGGAGGGTAGCAGAATGTTGGAAAAATGCTAATACATAAGAAAGGAGATTGCAAGGGCTTGAAGAATCACAGGCCAATCAGCTTGCTCTCGTCGCATAGAAGCTATTTACAAAGGTAATTGCTAACAGAATAATGACAGCATCAGAATTCAATCAGCCAAAGAAGCAAGCAGGATTTCGAACAGGCTACACATGCACTTGCCGGGTATCAAATGTGAAACCATTATTATCTTGTCGCAGTATAGTGCACTCCCACTTTTCTTGCTGTTCACTTTCTAGGCAGCCAAACATAGACACTTTTTGTCATTTTTCTTGTAAATGAATTGACATCCATGAACGCAGTATGTACGCGGCATACTTTTCAATTTTGAGGCACAACGCGCCTAGCACCAAACATGATGGAAAACGCACGGTGACATACCACGGTATGTGAGCGCCGTCTGCCCGGTGTCCCGACAAGGACACAGCGCTGCTCCGCGACGACCACTTGCGGTGCAAAAAGCTCTCTCATAGGGTTATGGTGCAGCTTCATGACCAGTAAAAATATGGAAGAACTCTGGTGCTACTATGTCGTCTGCCTTGGTAGTACAGTCGTTACAGATGCTCAGCTGCTGACCTAAAAGTCACATTTGATTTGTGGAGTTGCTATTTTAATGAAGGTGAAATGCTAGAAGCTTGTGTACTGGGCAATATCAGGGCACATTAAAGCACACCAAGTGGTCTGGAATTTCCGGAGTTCTCTACTATGTCGTGCCCCGTAATCTTATTGTGGTGTCAGTGCATAAAACCCCAGATTTATTGATTCTGGTCACGATGTCATCATTTTAGGTTATTGTCTATAGGAAGAAAATATAGCTGGCCTGAAGGCCTGGGTCTGTTAATGGTATTCTAGCGTCAGTGTCACCACGTGGCTTACTGTGTTCATAGTACATTGCTTGTCCCCAGGTACATTTCTGGTTCGATGGATGCCTGAGGTTTTGAGTGCTGGTAGGGCACAAGAGCTGCTGCCACTGCTTGTGAACGTGATACGTTTCAACTCGTCTTTCCTCGACCGGACCACCATAATGGGATTTGTGCAGTGAGTGCCCCTTGTGTCCATGTTGTCTGTAGCATGACTTGTTGCCTTTGTGGCGAAGGTAGTGCTCTACACAAGTGGTGGAACAATGGTGCCTGCTTACTTCTTGTGCAGGAACACCTGCATCCTGTGCTGCCGCACCAATTCGGAGCTAGACGTCAAGGTAGGCTGCTGCCAGTGTAACAGCATGAAGGTGGAGATCGACCCATTAAGTTTGTATGTTATGAGAAGGAACACTTTCCAGTTAAATGCATAGTCAGCCTGATAATAAGTATTAGCGTACTAAACTTTGTATTTGTTACAAATATGTGTGTACTACATGGCAATATTTAATTTAGTGTAGGTGTATACCTGTAATATTGCAGCATATTTTGTAAACTTGGAGAGTACTTCACTACTGGAAAGGCTAATATCTTCAGCTTCGTAATTTTTAAGGTATGATGTGTCCATAGTTTTGATGTTTTTTTCACACACTCGAATAATTCCACTTCAAACATATTGATCTTCTCACGGAAAGTACTAATGGTCTTACAGAAGGGTTTGGAGCTGCTGGACAGCGTGGTGGGCTATGGTATGGTCAGTGCAGGAGCTGCTTGGCCACCTGGTACCTACGGCTTGCCGCACAGTGGTGGTGGCACCTTTCTCAGAGCCTAGCTGGCGACTGATGCGCAACTTGTTGGGCACCCACCTGGGTCACCGCACCATTGGCTATCTCTGCCGCTTGCTTGAGGACAGGTGTGCACTCTTTCTTTGCTGCGGCTGCTGCTGCCTGCCGTGGTTAATGTTGGTGCATAGGATCTGCAAGCTGTCTCGTGAGGTAGCACAGCTGACAGAAAAAAATGCTGAGGAGAGCAGGGCACTTGATGGTCGAGATGCTCTTCTTGCACTAATGGTCTATGGCAATGTTCAGTCAATGCTACTTTGAATCCAAACTAGCTGATTAACTGCTCTATATGGAAAACTTTGTGGTCAGCTGTAGATAATCCTACACTAACAAGAGTCACTAGCACCATCTCTAAACTGAGTTAAAAGGGTAGCATATTGGGCTTTCATCCTGTTAAAAAGATGCAGTCTGCAAAGTGGAAACTAGATAAGACACATTCATAGGCTTTGTGTGTGTGTGTGTCTGTGTGTGCACGTGTGCGTGCATGTGCACACACATGAATGTATCCTGCGTGGGTGGGTGATATCATCTTTCAGCATTAGCATGTCATTGCCGGTGACTAAATGAAGGGTTAAATGACCTCTGTTGCCCTCAGCTTTTTGTGCACTGCAGTTAGTAACTGCTACTAATGGCTGTTATTTGAGTATGGTGACCCCTTCTTTTTGGTAACCCTGCTGTGCATGTGCAGGTCCAATGCGTGTGATACCAGTCTGCTGAAAGGGGCAGTGTTCTTTGTGGGCGCTGCCCTGTGGAGCCCAAATTCTGTGAACACACTGCATCATACAGCTGCGGGTGTGCTCCCTTCGCTGAGTCGGGCCGTGGACAGTGACAGGGCTCATCCGTCAGTTGCCTATGAGGCAGCTGTGTGCCTGCAGTGGCTGCTGGGCGAGGGTGCACCCCCACTGGGGCCAGTTGCCTGGGATGCCATTCTGAACCTTCTGGCCACTCTTCTAACTTTCCCACAGGTATTCTTGCCCTCTCATGATGTTTCAGCGAACTGGACAAGTTGGTACTGTGAATTCTCACTTGTACGAAAGTCAGTTTTACGAATATGTCAGAATAACAGTTTTAAATATTCCCCGCATTTGAGGTAAAGGTCTTTCAATTAATTGAATTTTGGAGTAGTGAATATTTCTGATGTATAAACTTGATCCAGAGCTCAGGCTCATTTCAAGATCAGATGAACGGAGTTTCGTGCTCTGCAGTACTGCAGCTGGATGTTGACGGCAGTGCTTCATTTGAAGACTATGTGTAGTGTGACACTGAGCTTGTTATCTGTGTACAACTATGAGATCTAGAAATTGTTTCTAGGATTTGTCTGAAACCGCAAAAAGAAGAGTGTGTCAATGAAGTTGCATTAGATAAGGCAGGTTAAAATCCTCTATCTGTTGTCGAAGCTGCAGGATATATTAGTAAGTTGTGAGACTTCGTGTCTTAGAAACAAACTGTGCCTGAGTTAGTGCGCAGAGACGTACTCTCCAGACAGTTTTTTCTCTTGTGCCAATTCTTTGAGAAAATCAGTCTTTAAAAGGCTTTAAGGGCATCAGCTTAAAGGGCACCAGTCCGAATGAAAATTGTAGAGTTATTTTCAAAATAAGTTGCATTCAACCTTTCTACTCAATAGTGCTTCACTCCCTTCAAAAGTTTTTGCTCCATTACACGTATGTGCTGCCTTGCGTAAACCGCGCCAATTGACTAAGAACCACTGAGAACCTTTCGAGGCGGTTACGCACACAATGCGAACATTATAGATTCTTCTGAAACATAGGTGCCCGCTAGCGATAATGCTGAAATATTCGACGGCACATGTGTAAATGCCGATGTGCGTCATTACTAGTCAGTTGATTGACGGCCGACGTTCTGTTTGCCGCTATCAGTGCCAGTGTTTCTAACCTGCAGTTTTGTAGCCACAAGTTTGGCCAAATAAAGAATTTATTTTTCGACACGCTGACTGTTGCTTTCATCAATGTCATGACCCCATGACAATATCTGCTGTGCCAAATGTTGTTCCATATCCTAGAGAATATTCAGTTGAGCAAGCTTTCATTTCGATGAGCTCTTTCATTGCGTTCCTTGAAGTTCACTTAAAGGAGAGTTCATTGTAGCTGCATGTCCAGCAGCATCAACAAGGGTAGTGGAATGCCAGTGTGGCCTTGGGACACACAAGCTGGTGTGAGAACTGTCATTGAAGCAAAATAGATCATGTGAAATCCCTGGGAGTGAAAGCAATACAAAAGCGAGGGGAACCACGATTGTGCATATTTATGATGAGAAGAAAATAAAACAAGTAGTGAGCTGATTAGTGAACAGTGAAGTCAATATAAACTAAAATAGTCAAGCCAGATGGCTTTTGCCTTCGACTCGTCCTATGTGAGTACATAAGGAACACTTTGAGTTTTTTAACAATCGCTAACAAGGAAGCACGCATTATAGAGTGAAACGGCCTCTATTGCAAGCACCAAAACAAAGCGGTGATCAGTTGCGCAGTACTTGCAACCTAACGAAGAGCAATATACTGTACACACACATGTGACTATGTAATGTTAGTTATAGCTTAGACGAAAAGTCCACTTGTCAGAACGTTGGCTTGAGCACACGATTCCCGTTTACAGATTTTGTCATATGTAATATGAAAAAGATAAAGAAAGGCATGATTCATTAATAGTATAGCATATCACCCCTATTGGGCTCTTATGCTGTACTAGCTATTCCTTTCCATACCTAACTACAAATTCGGCCTTTTCATTTTCAGGCATTGAGCATCACAGAGAAAAATTTGTTTTGGCATATAGGCACTTTTTAAAAAGTTTTTAAATATTACCTTTACTTAACTTTTACAACAGACAGCAAAAATCTATATCAATTCTAAAGCTGGGAAAGGGGAGAGATGGCTCACTTCTATGGCCTCGTTATGGTATCCATCACGACAAGGTCATTTTTAATAGCTTGGCGCCAAAAGCCCTCCTACAAACATCTTTTTCAGAATGTTTGATTATGTGTATTTTGAAGTGTGGCCAAGAAAGGCAAGTGTGCGTCTCCAAGGTGGTCTGGTTGTCATCAAGTACACCAATGATATAGAGCCCAACAACTATGAGCTTGTTGCCTTCCATGGTTCCCATTGCCCTTCTAACATTGGTGCTTTTTATTTATGTCATTGTAGAGCCATTGTTTGTACTGGTGGTTATTTTTAGGCTTAGGCATGAAAAATATTTTAAGAAATATTGAAGTGCTTGAATTCACCTTGACACAAGTTTTAAATGTCTGAAATTTCGAAGTACAGTCCGACTTTCATATAATAAGCCATAATTTTGCCACTTTTTTATAATATAACGAGGTCATATTTTACCACATTACAAATTTAGGGAAGTCCTCGTGCATTGCTTGCGTGTACCAACACCCTCCTTGACAGGCAGATAATAAAAAGTAGGGGCGAACAGCACTTCACATATGCCCTTTAATGTAGAGGCTTTCTGGTAGGTTTCAATCTGTGGGCAGAACACACTTCTTTGCTATCTGCTTTGCATGTATCACATTTGTCATGAGTGTGGTCATCTCATGCTTGCAGGAGTACTTCAGAAGTTCTGGAACCCATCATGCTATAATGGCACACGTTTAAATTTTATATTTATGTTCATCTGGGCCCTCACAATTCTCTTCTCCCCTTTTACCCTGTTTTGAATATTCATTGTCCTATATATAGGCTTGCTTTTTTGAAATAAGCCTTTAGTTGATAGTCAGTGCCTGTTTGTGCTTTTTTCTTCTTTTGTGTTTACATTTGTTTTCTTGCGCTGTTACACCACAAGGCACTAAATGGAAATCCCTCTGACAGTTTTGTAACGTTGGGGACCACCTTTCATTCTGATGATAGATGATAAATAAAGACATGTGTTGTCTGAAAGCAAAAGCCCTAAGTGATTGCATCGCGAGGTTCAGAAAATTGCGCAAGACCGTAGAAAAACTGTTAAAGCCGTAATAAAACCCAGGTCTTGTTCGGAGTAGTCAACTCCTATATGACAGAGCCACTCCAGTGCTTGCAAGTGTTTTGGAAAAATACCTACACAGCTGTCTTGTTGGGCAGGAGTCATACTAGCAGTTTTGTGTAGCAGTTTACAAAGCGTTTCGCAGTCATAATTAGCGCCAATGAAGTGTGCAGCTACGAAGGTGCATGTATTGTCTTACCGACACATATGCTGAAGTCTGCAGATATTGCAAAATCATGTGAAGACAAAAGTGCTCGCATAAGGCATTCAAAGAGTCTATTAAAAAGGTGAACATGTCAACTATTAAGTCGACGTTGATTGTTGAAATGGCGGTCCAGAAACCTCGTAGTGTTACTTTTGTGCCAAGGAAGGGCCTTTTTTGAAATAAAATCACGTTTTAGTGCTCCATGTCGGGTTAGTGCAGTTCAAATTACCCGCCTCAAAAAGCGGATCGACCGAACCGTCTCACGTCGCTGTTGCCATGCACAACGTTGCCCGAATCTACTGCGCTAGTAGCAGCAGACCGAAAGCAGCGGGGGGCCACAGCAGCAGCAACGGGCATTGATCAATTTCCCGCCATTGGCTTCAAGATTGCAGACGCTTTTGTTTCAACTGCGCCCCGCTGGATGGAACCACCTGTTCCGTGTAGCCACGCCAAAATAGAACTTTTGAACCACTTGCGCCATTCCCCATAGTAGCGTTCGGCGGTTCTGTTTTTCAATAATCAAACAGAAACGAACAAGTAGCATTTTATTGTGTCTCTTAATGCATGGAACATTCTTTATTTAGTGCAGTTAGATCGATTACTAGTGATTAATTGTAGGCAGTCCATCTGATGTCATCGGGATCATTTTGAAAATGTCCTACTATGGCGCTTGTGTTATTGTGCATTTACTTTAATTTCTCGGTAAGTAGGGCACTGTGTTGATAATATTGTTGTTTTAGATGTTGTCATACATTGAGCTTTCACTCTGACATAAATTTTTATTTGAATTTAGTGTCCCTTTAATGCAATTGAAGTTCATTTCTCTTACATGAGCACAGCCAGGCCTTTGCTTTTGTGTGTTTTAAGAATGTTATGCCTGCTGAATTTTTTCCTGTTTATATTCACTGGTGCACCTTGCGAAAAGAAGTTTTGCTTTGTGCATTTACGCAAAGGCTAAATTATTACTGAAGTGATGACCAGGAAAAGGTGGTTGTTGTTGAAAGATATGAAATTTTATTGAGTTCACCTTTAACAATATTGAAGTTTGAGAGCATCGTGATTGCCATTAGTTCTAGTGGCTCAATCCATCAAAGGTAAAAGGCTACGAGAAGCAGCCTACAGCAACTGTAAAAGCTCCCTGTGCCTGTGGTACCTTGATATGCATACAGAAAATATGACATTTAGTGGAGCCATAATTCAGCAAAAGGCCCTCAACGTCGCTTGCATCCTTGCCTTTCCCAGTGGAAATGACGGGAAGCTTTTGCTCATGGTAGGTAGATAACAGGGTAGAAGGCCCCAAACACTATGCTGACAACCAGCATTTATGTGGTCTTGTTGTGCAGGTGCAATTTTTTGTTAGGGCTTGTCTTTCATCTCCAGGGTGCAGTTTTCAAAGTTCAAGGCATGTTTAACCTTTTCTTGACCGGAAGAAAAAATAATGCCAAAATGACCGACAAATTTTTTTGCTCACTTTGTAGAGCACTTTCATTGTGTGAATAAATTGATACCATTACTTTAATAAAATAGAATGTCATTATTTTTCTAATTGCATACAAAGATACCGAATGTGCGATATAAGGGCGCAGCAGTGCAATCAAAGGCGAGGCACAGGAGGAGGAGGAACAATAAACTATTAGAAAATGTAGACAAGTGGGACCATCTCGCATTGAAAAATACAAATACTAGCAGATATCGTTGTCATTGCTGTTGTGCACTACCATTTTTTTCTTGATGACGATTAGCATAGTTGTCATTAGTCATTTTGTTAGAACATCTCATGACGACTACACTTGCCAACAGTTGCGAAAGGGTTATTGGTATTGACGAGCAAAGGCTTTGCAAAACCTTGTTGATATTGCACAGCTTGTGCAATATTACATGAACTTGCATATCAGCCTGAAACAAAACAGTGAGTATTGTTTAAATATAGATTAGAGGAATGATGATGTCCTTGCTTGTATCAGTAATTATGCATTTGCATTTATTACATCATAATAGTTTAAAACCCTTCTGTGCACAGGACAAATCTGGAGGACGGCAACTTCAGCAAATGGCTCATGAGTTGCTGACACGTGTGGAGCTGTTTTATGACCAGGGCACCTTTGAGGGCAGTGCCACACATCTCTTTGAGCTGGTCGACCAAGCAGCACCACTTCGTCCCGTGTGTACCGCATTCACGATCTCCTTGCAACCTATCCTGCACAAAGATATGGGTCTTCACTGAAGCTGAGAAACTAGGCATGGGCAAATATATGAGTGCTTCGAATATTACAGTACTTCAATTTACTTCAGCGTGAATTTATAATGCCCGAAATCGCTAAGTGTTTGAAACGAATGAATCAGCAGATTTTATTCTGTGTAAGCTTCCTGAAAAAGTTGTTTCACAGTGGTGTGTTGCCGGTATGCTGCGAAACTGCAATCTGCGCCTCCACGAGACCACATCTCAATTGCCTGCACTCCAGGCATGTGCGAATATTCGAGCATTTGAATATTCGGATGAATATCACGTATTTTAATTTGCTTTGACATGAATTTCAATAATTTGAAATTTCAAAGTATTTGAAATGAACAAATTAGCATATATTAAACCCTATGTAATTCCCCTGTAAAGGTAGTCAAACTTCAGCTTAGGAGTGCTATGTTGTGAAAACATCTATTCAGTAAAAAACCAGTCATTTTTTTAGGCCACATTTTCAAGGTTAAATCAAAATATTATCCTCGCATTGATTAATCATATTAAAAGCAGAGCTCCTTGAGCTTTTTATTGCACTGGGAGTGGGTACAGAAATTATTGTCATGAACTGATACGCGTATGTCTTCAACTTCTGCTACGCTCCCACAACACGTGCCCCGATTTACGGAGCATGGAATACAATAACTATGATTGTTGAGTCTGTTTAGACTAAAGATGATGTAACATCACGCAACGCCTAGTCTTGTGAATAAAATCGGGTAACATCAAACAACATTTAGGGATGTGATTAAAAAAATTGCGGGACCTTTAAGCTTCGCTTTTGAGAGTTGTATGTGATAGTGATGTTCAGTTCCTAGTGTGTATTTCAAATACTTAGTGTATGAAACCTTTCCGAACTTGTTATGCACACACTATGTGGCCTTAAGGGAATAGGTGCAGTGGCGTGTTTACCTTTTGTAGTGTGGTACCAGCTTTTAATCACGGAGTCATTATAATAATCACATATTCCAACGCCCGTTGGCAATGGACGATTGTACCAGGCATTATTACTGCAATATTTCATGTTGCATTGAGAAGCATGAAGACAGGATGCGTATTTTTGTAATGCAAGAAAGTTAGTTTCACTGCATTTCCAAGCAGAGGAAGTTATTTTCCTATATTCGCAAGCAGAATCATGGCTGTGTGGTAGAACACCCACTTACCACACAAACGACCTGGGTTCGATCCCTAACCAGACCCAAAATTTTTTATTATTTATTTTGTTTGAATTTTTCTTGATTTTTTGTTCACACAATGTCGATTTTGCACTCACAACCAATGACGCCGACGGCGGAATTTTCGCGATACGAGCTCTATAACGCTGTTGCGCTAAAAGTCGCCTAATATCACATGAGAACTAGTCTTATCACTAAAATCAATGTAACAATATCTAACACCTGGAGCTGTGTGAATAGTAAATTTTAGGTGCAAAGCAAATTCAGTATTTGCTGAATATTTCTAAAATATTTCTAGAATATTTTTTGAATACTTTGAAGCAAAACTGCAGAAAACAAACAAGCTTGGAGAGGCTTTCTAAGCTGTCCTTATGATGTAGCAACATGACAATGTTTCTTTTGGCTAGGTTGATGAAGTGCTGTCGGGGTGGTGTTTCATGGTTGTCTTGTTACGAATGAGGCAATGCAGAGGCTGAATTGTATTTATGTAGTGCATATTTGGTGCAATCAAAGCTCTGCATGCTGACAACACTTTACCCATGAAAGGCAAATATGCTATCTTTCGACTTCTGTGGTAGCCCAATTGATGTGGCAGATGAGGGCGTGCTGCTTTTGAGTCTGGAATTCCAAATATGCCTCGTAGATGTCAATATACAAGAGCATCTGAGATTTTGGATTCTAAAAATCTTCAGTGCCCAATTTTTTTCTGTTCCTGCCCAAATTTCTGGTCAAAAACAGTATTAATTGGTCCCCCACTTTGGACACATCATCTCCTTGTTGGAACTAGCATTTTCTTGAGTCAATACATTTGCAACCGTAGCAAAGCCTGAAAGGCAGCTTTGCCGCAATGTGAAAGTGGGATGGGGTGATGCAGAATAAAAAATCTGAAAGGGCCACTGTTAAAGAGGTGGTGACACCAAATTTTTAGAATGCGTGTTCTGCGCTGTAAGCATTTCCTTCAGCTCCAGGAAGCATGGTACACACCAAGATTCGTGTATTTTAGCTAAATAGTTTAATATTGCTCTACTGATGTAGACCATTTTTGGTTTCGGTTTTGCGGCGCCGGGTTGGGCAGTGACGTAGATGCATACGTGGCTTGGCCACGTGACCACACAAAGCTGTGATGCACATCGAGCTGAGTTTCGTCTGCTCTCACATGCACGTGCCACACAAGTGCCAGCAAAACAAACACGCTGACAGTCGCTGTACCAGCTGCAGTAGCATCTAGGCAGTGGCAAGGCAAAAGGCAGCCAAAAGGAAACAAAGCGTTTATATTTACAACGTATGAACAGAACGTGGACAAGGAAGCTGCCTGACGCTAGATGCGCCGGCTTTTTATAGGCGCCGATACGCTGAAGGAGCACGGAGCAGCCCCAATGTTGGACGCGCGCGGCGCCTCTGACGGACAAGGACGCACCGAGTGTCATCTCTTCGAAAGCACCCAGTGCCCTTGACGGATGCACACAGTTGCTCTGAAATGGACGTCATCACACTCGTCATACAGATCCGGTGGGACGTCACAACAACTGCCGTTGCTTCTCCTATTCTGAAACGTCAGTGTTGCTGTGCAAGCAATGGGTCTAGATCGTAAAGTGGGCATTCAGCTACACTTTTAAAAGTAAATTAAAATATATTCTACACATTTGTTTTGTCCAACCCTTCATGTGGAGAGTCCTTCAATACAGTGGAAACCCACAACAGGCTTGGGATAGCCTCGAAATTTGTTGACCCCACCCCTTTAATCGGGTGTTGACTATATTTGTCTTTGGGAAGTTAGAATAGTTCAAGTAGTATAGTTTCGGTGCAAGTCGAATTGAATAGCTAACACTTTTAGGAAATATTCGAAATTTTGAATACTCGCACACCCTTGTAACAACTAATCAAACTACCATGGTCCCTCAGTAGTTATTTTGGTCAGGAAACTGCTGCCTCACTTTAATATAGAGCTAGTAACGGCCCCTAGGGGTGCCACAGTAAAAGAAAGGCCACCCAGTGTAGTGGCGGCCGTAGGCATTGCTTGCATTTTTTCTTCTATGATATGTCGCTGCCGACAGCCCGCTCCTTTTCCAGTCCCACTCCTGTCGTTTTCAAGCCTCGAGAACTTTGGTAGTTTTCGTGCATATCAATCGAATGGTGCGGTGGTTTTCTAACATTATTTTTGTTGTCAACATCTCCAATGAGAACCGCATGGATTAATATGTGCCCCTTATATCACATTGCGCTTCTGAATTTATATTGTCGCGACGTCAAGAGAGAGGTCGTACTCGAAGACGCTGAGAAAACAGCAGCGGGTCGGTCTCTTTGTTAACCGCGTGAGAGAGAGTTCCTCATCTTTCTCGTTGTTGCGTTCTGCATAAAAGCGTGCAGATGCGCGTATGCGCTGTCGCCTTCGTCTTTTTCGCGGGACGCATGTGACATTTGCCTCCCTCCAAAAATGGCATCGTCCCGATGCGCAGCCAAGGCACTCTACTTATAAAAACGCACATATGCACCGGCACGATCAGGACAAACGAGAGTTAGCTGGACAAGTAGGGTTTCATCCGGATGAGATGTACGATTTCGGGTGAGCAGTTTCGGCGACTGGAACTGCAATCGCCGTCGGGAATAACTTCGTAGTTGATGTCGTTCAATCGTCGGGTGACTCGATATGGGCCAAAGTATCATCGTAATAGCTTTTCTGAAAGTCCGCGTCGACGTATTGGGATCCAGACCCATACCTTGTCGCCTGGTTTGTAGGTTACCAATTTATGTCATAGGTCGTACCGTTTCGTATCTTTGTGTTGCTGGTGACAAATACGCACGCGGGCTAGCTGTCGGGCTTCTTCTGCACGCTGACCAAATTCTTCGGCGTCAGCGTGAGTGTCGTCACACTCGTGCGGCAGCATAGCGTCCAACGTTGTAGTGACTTCGCGCCCGTGTATTAAACTAAACGGCGTCATTCCGGTAGTTTCCTGCCGGGCAGTATTATAGGCGAAAGTCACATAAGGCAAGATTTCGTCCCAGTTCTTGTGTTCTGTGTCGACATACATGCAGAGCATGTCTGCGAGGGTCTTATTAAGCCGCTCTGTTAGTCCGTTCGCTTGTGGGTGGTACGCCGTTGTTCTCCGGTGAGCTGTACCACTGAGCCTGAGAACCGACTCCAAAAGTTCTGCCACGAACGCAGTTCCTCTATCCGTGATGAGAACTGTTGGAGCACCATGCCGAAGGACGACGTTTTCTATGAAGAAATGAGCCGCTTCTGCTGCTGTGGCCCTCGGCATGGTTTTAGTTTCTGCGTAGCGAGACAAGTAATCAGTGGCGACAATGATCCATCTGTTCCCTGTGGTAGAAGTTGGGAATGGGCCCAGGAAATCCATTCCGATTTGGGCGAATGGCTTTGCTGGCACTTGAACGAAATGTAATAAGCCTGCCGGCCTGCCGGGTGGTGCTTTGCGTCTTTGACAGTCGGCACATGTTTGGACGTGATGTTTCACAGCAGCAGGTAGGTTAGGCCAGTAGTAACTGTTTTGCAGACGGGACAATGTTCGAGTGTAACCGAGATGACCAGAGGTGACTTCATCATGGCAGGCTTCCAGAATTTCTTTTCGCAGTGATGCAGGGACGACGAGCAAGTATGGGCTGCCGGTGGGAGAAAAGTTTTTCTTGTATAGGACATCGTTCCTTAAACAAAAAGATGGCACTCCTCTCGCAAAAATTCGTGGCACGTCTTCCCGTCGTCCTTCTAAGAAATCGATAAGCGAAAGCAGGTCAGGG